TACGCTCGAGCTTACGCTCGAGCTTACGCGAATACCATTTCCAAAAAAAGGCATTAATCAATTTTGGTTCTTTCACTATGTTAGATTTTGTATATTAGTTGGGGATTTGTTCACATTTTATTATTGATTCTTGAAATAATATTCAGTCTCTAATTTCTTTGGATGAAGATACTAATCTCTTGTTGGTGTATTGCTCTAGATGAGTAAAGATTTTCGTTCAGTAGTCGACATTTTCAATGCATGATAAGTTCACGTTTACATCATTAATTTGTTATTGTTGCAGGTTGATCATAGTCATGCGAGTTGCCAGCTTGAAGTAAATATGCTCGTCTTAAAATAAAATTTGAGTTTTATATAAATAATATTTAATTTTTTTGGCACTAAAATAATTACGCCTGAATGTTAACACTAATTGTATCGTATTAGAAAGAAACTCTGTTATAAAGGCAACACAAAATTAGGCTGCTCAATTTGTTAATGATTCTTTAAAAGATGTGATGGATAACTTGGTGCCCACTATAGCAATTTGAATTCCTTGAAATTGATAAATATAGTGTATATCCTTTCCTAATCTTGGAATACCAAAATAAATTTAGAGTCGTGTAATATTCTTGACGAATTTCACGACAATGTAACATTAATTCCAGGCAAGTCTTACGATAAAACACATGAGAAATATTAAAAAAACAAGCTTAAATTTTAATGATGTGTGGATTTAAATCCAAAACGAATAATATCACTAGTAGACTTGAGATTGTTACATTTCATTTTACTATTCCGATAATATTGGTAAAGCTAAAGTTCATGAGATTTCTAGTGGCACGTACACCTTGAACTAGATATATGGGTCAAAATTAGATCGAGGACTAAGTCGTGCAGAGTTGGGTGAGGAGAGTGACCTGGAAATCATTAAGTGCGGCATGGTCGTAGTCGATCAGTAACCTCATGTGCCGAGTAGCTCGACAACCAGTCATGGTCGAGGTCGAGCGGTAGAGTTAAGAATAACGGCTAGTTTACATAGAGATCCACAGAGGGAATATTTCATCAAATATCCTCTCTGTTTGTACTTTTAGGGTTCTTAGTGAATATCTCATATAAATAGAAAGAAAGAGGAGGAAAAAGGCATGTACAATTCCATATGATAAGAACATTTGTAAAAGGATAAGCTCTGGGACAAAATACAAAGAATTACTTTTCACTAAGATCCTTTTGGTGAACTATTCTATTGTCTTTTCCTTCATATCCAAGAAAATACATATTATTCAATCATGCCGTGTCATTTATCATTGTCAGAGGAAGGAATTAATCCTTCACCCTCTTCAACATTGGGTGAATCATCCCCTCTATTTAAATTATTGTCATTTGATGCTATCATTATCCACATTTCATTCTGTGTAGTGGTTCACATCATTCGTTATACATCTAGAATTAGTAGCTCTACCTAGGATTGTCCCATTTTGATAAATCATTAATTAGTTTAATCAAGGATTAACTCATTTTTTGGTCAAACGCTAGATAGGTCAAAGTGACTATTTTGATTTTCTTTCAACCTGTAATAAATGTCATGGTTCTTTAGGGTGTGTTTGGTACGAAACAAAATATTTTTCGAAAAAATATTTTTCAATTGTCCTATGTTTGGTTGACTTAAATGTTTTGGAAAACATTTTTCTCATGAACTCATTTTTCTCCAACTGGAGGGAAATGTTTTCCTTGTCAAGAGAAGAGAAACTATTTTCCAGAACTCTTCTTCAATCTTCCCCACCTTCCTATTCCCATCCCACTAACCCCCCCCCAACACCTATCCCACCCCACCCCTACCGCACCCACCCAGCCTCCCCCAACCCTGCCCTGCCCCCCCTAAATAGAAATTTATTAAGAATGCTTTCTTTTCATGTTGTAGATGGAGCAAATTAATATTTTTTTTATTTCAACAAATGAGTATGTTTTTCATGATAAAAAAAAGGTATTTTATTTCATTTCAACAAAAAAAAAAAGTACTTTCTTTTGCATGACGTAGAAAAAGTATATTTTTTTATTTCAACAAAATAATATAGTAAAAAGTATCTTCTTTCATTTCAACAAAAAAGTACTTTGAAAAACTTTTCTTGATGTTGAAAAAGTATTTTCTTTCGTTTCAACAAAATGATGAAGTAAAAAATATCTTCTTTCATTTTAACAAAAAAAGTACTTTCTGTTCACGATGTAGAAAAAGTATTTTCTTTCATTTCACAAAATAATGTAGTAAAATGTATCGTTTTTCATTTCAACAAAAAAAAAATTCTTTTTATGATGTAGAAAACGTATTTTCTTTCATTTCAACAAAATGATGTAGTAAAAATTATTTTCTTTCATTTCAACAAAATGAGTATTTTCTTTTCGCGATGTAAAAAATTATTTTCTTTCATTTCAAAAAAAAGTTACTTTCTTTTATGATGTAGAAAAAGTATTGTCTTTCGTTTCAACAAAATAATGTAGTAAAAAGTATTTTTTTTTTCATTTCAACAAAATGAGTATTTTGTTTTCGTGATGTAGAAAAAGTATTTTCTTTCATTTTAACAAAATGAATAGTACTTTTTTCATGTTGTAGAAAGAGTACTTTCTTTTTCAACCCAAAAAAAATATTTTCTTTTTAGTTATGTAGCACAAATTTCAACGTTGTTTTTGAGTGAAAAAGTAAAGCAACACATTAGTCCCTTTTGGCTTTGTCTGAATTTTTAATAGAATAGTTAAATTCTTGAAGAAAATAGAGTCCTGAAAAAGTTGGGTATATAGGGTTTGGGGGAGGGGGATAAGGAAAGTAGCATAAAAAATTATTTTTCTAAAAATATTTTCTATTCTCTAAACAATTACTAGAAAATATTTTCCCGAAAAGTCTTTCACTCACCAACCAAACATGGAAAAATAAGTGATAAAATCATTCATTTTCCAGGAAAACATACATTTTGTAGGAAATATTTTTCATGGAAACATTTTCCTTCGTACCAAACACACCCTAGATGTTTAACTTAGAAGAAGAGACCTGTTGCTGAACTATGTGTTATGGGAAGATGCAATCTCGAGTAGAAAACTATGTCTGAGCAAATGATGAAGAACCAAATGACTCTTTTAGTTGATTTAAGTGTATTATAACCTTCGGACTTTTGTTTGGGGAGAAATTATACGGCATAACTATTCTGAAGAGAAAATCATATTTATCTCTTGAAATTTGGTAATATCGACATTTCTTCCATTAGTTTTTTTTTTTTTTTTTTTGAGAAGTTCCTTCAAGTATTTCCGGACGCAGAGACTATTAAAGAGAATATTTAGTCGTTTTTAGGATAGAATTAGATGCCACAAAATTTCCTTTCCTTTTACGCCTTCTTGAATCAAATATGGCTTTAAAATTATTAAAAAAAAAAAAACTACACTAGAAAAAGCTCTTTCTCATTATTCTATCTAATTTGTAATGATCTACAATATTTTCACGCTTTCTTATTCTCAAACTGAGCAATTTAAGATTATTTGACATTTAAGGATAGTTAAAGCATTTAATTGCTACGTCTAGCTACTATGGCACTTTACTGTTTTATTATGAATAATAACTTGTATACACTAACCTTTTAAATAAGGGATTTTTTTCTAACTATACTATATATGAAACCTTATTACCAAAAATGTACATAATTTGTTAATTACCCGCCCAGTCCACACTTTAACTACAATTTATATACCAATCCATAATTAGGCAGATTCTGCCATTTAAAACGCGCGAAAAAAAAGGCACAAAATCTGCGTTTGATTCTTTCCACATTAAATTCGAAATTTGAAACGGAAAGAGATCCGATTGCTGCGTAATTCTCTCTTTCACTACAATTCAAAAACAACGCAGAGCTTCAGAAGCTTCAACAACGCAATACAAATTGTAGAATTTAAAATTGTTCTTCCTCGTCCTCAGTACTCAAATTGTCGAACATATATCTGTTCTTCATCTTTTTTCTCTCAACTACACGAAATCATGTCAAAAATCCCAATAATGCTAAAATTGAATGGGAATTGGGATAACTATGGCAGATTTAGAGATTTTGAAGTTGATGCCATTGTGGTAGATGAGAATGCAAGTTTGTGTAGTTCGAAAATGCTTAGAATTTGAGTTTTATGATATTATCTACAAATTTACTACATATATCTACAATTTGACTACAAGTTCTTTATTTGGTGCAGGAAAAAAATATTTTAATATACAATGTCTCCAGATTGTAGATAAATTGTAGGCAAATTGTAGTTTACTTGTAGTTTGTAGTTAATTTGTAGATAAATTGTAGATAAAATATAGATATATTGTAGATACCATATTTTTAATATTGTAAATTTTTTTTCTTTGTGTTTGTTCTGAAAATGTAGGTGAGGGCTTCAACAGATCATATACATACTGTGTTGGATGGTGTGAAGCGGTACATTGTGTGTCTAGAAAACAAGAAATGTAGTTGTGGCTAATTCCAACTTGAAGAACTTCCATGTGTAAATTATTTTCCAGATTGTAGTTATAATGTAGGTTAAATGTAGTTAATTTGTAGTTTTTGTAAACTTTTGTAGACAATTTGCAGATTATTTGTGGATAACACATTTCTACGATTGGAGTATTTATTTCTTATTTTTTGTTGTGTAATTTATATTCAACTGACAGTTATACACAAATATTACATAGAACTTGGAGGTAAACATCTAAAAATTATGATAAAAAGCTACAAAATTTATATAATTTATGCAATCGATTTAATACCTGCTTGGCTTGAAGAAGGATTATCTATACGACGCCACGATATACGTGCAACATGCTTCCTACCCATACTAAAATACAACAATGGACGAACATCGATTAAGAAAGTGTAAACAAAGCCACAAAAAATCAGTGATTTTAAAATCCACTTCTATAAAAATAGAATTATGAAAATGT